TTGACGGATAGGCACTTAAAGACATTCTTTGGCTCAAATCACCGTCATGCCAATTGTTAAGGGTACCATCTTAACAATTAGAGGCATTGCAACTCAAGTACCAAAAGTTCTATAAGTACAAAACTTTATGCTCATGGTTTTCAATTTCACTTCCAAAAAGAATTTTGAAACTTCATTATGATGTTTACGGACTAAGGCTCTGATACTAATTAAATTGTCACGCCCCGGACCTAGCCGGACACGTCAACAACCCGCCGTACAGTACGAATAGTCAACCGCAGTCCAACTCATCCATACTATACAAGGCGTCATGAATATCATTCACACATAGTACATCCATAAACAAACATAATGTAAAACATTCATTTAAAACAGCGGAAGCATTTAATAACAGTGTCTTAGCCACACTTTGGCAAACATGGGCATGCAAGCCCCCAAATAGTTATTCAAAATAATATCCATGAGCATTATTATAATTGTTTTGAAATCAGAAAACAGAAGAAGCACGAACCACGTCTTCTCCTCTGAATATCCCGATCAACGGGCACCGGTAGCAACCTTCAAGTCCTACCTGAAACTGTGAGGTGGCCTCCCCCGTGAAGAGGAGGTCAGTACTTGGAAATATTTGACAAGTACAATAGCAACTATACTAAGTATAATCAACGTTTTAATTTCCAAGACCCTCAAAATAGGGTGATATCATAATATAAATAATAATTTATATTTCCCACTTATTACCCTTATAGTAAGTAAATTTATTTATTCGTCGGCACACGGCCCTTCTTATATATCCCTTTTTATTTATCATTTGCACAACCCAACCCTTGGGTCCTATTATTTCTACGGGACTTGCTACCGCTGTCCGAGACCTCGTGAGGCTCCCGGTTCGGACTCCAACATCCCGCCCCTGGACTCGTACCCATCATCCTGTAGGAAGGTAAGGCCCTTCGGGGTCCTATCTTATGTGTTACCGCTACCGGAACCTAGTTAGGTCTCCGATTCGGATTCCACCCTAACCCGTGATCACGATGTAAGTCCATGCTATCCAACCCCGCTCTCTAGAGTCGGGAAGGGCCATGGTCCTTACTATTTCCATAACTCGACCGGCTATCCACAAGGACTACCGAACACACCCGTAGGCCAATCCTATACTTAGGATCAATTTAATATTTGCATTAACTCGGGTATCCCTTAAGGCCTACCCCTAGTATAACTTAAAGTTCATACTTTCCTACCTTAAAGCATCTCTTAAGACTACTTAAGGCATAACATTTCACAATCCAACTTTAGGATCAATCTTTAACAACATTTCATTTTAATGCCCAACTAGTGTCTTAATACTAGTCAAATTAATAACAACACACCAAGTTCTCAACTCATAGTCATATAGACAATTTCGACTGATTTTCCTTTGAAAAATATCATTTATCTCAATATTCAAAATATCACTTTTAATCACTCATATATTCTAATATGAAGAAAAAGTATATTTCAACATATGTTTCATAATAAATTCCACTTTCAAGTCAACATAGTCATAACACATGAACATACACAATTTGCTCTTAAATTTGTATATCATGCTCCCTTTTTCTTTAGACATTTAGTCTTGTCATTTTTAGGCATTATTAATCATTAATAATCCATAAGAATACTTTTAATTACCTTCGGTAATCTCATGAAATTAACTCATTAATTATAAGCAATATAGTCAACCATCCTCACCTTATGAAGTGCTGAAATAGTTGTCTTTGCTAAGCCCCTCGATCAATCCCCGTTCTAGGCCGATTGAAGGTGTAGAACTGAACTGCTGGGAAAAAGCCGGGCGGATTTCACGAAAGCCGGGCGGCTTTCGTGGTCTGCAGAAACGAGCAGCTCCCTTAAAGTGGCGGTTTCCGGCGATTTCGACTCCTATCGATTCACCAACTCTTCTAAGTTAAATATCACCACTTTATATCAATATTCTACACTTTTAAACGTGTAGAACATCATGTTTAATCCACCATATGATTTCTTAAAAATCATACACCATAAAACTAGTTAAAAGAGTAGAAATTGTATTCTTACCTCTTCTTCTAGCTTTTCTTCTTGGATTTCCCTTTCTTTTGCTTCCTCCAAAGTCCTTGTTGGTGTGAGCTATTCCCAGAGCTTCTCCTCCCTTGGTTTTGGTCGTGCAAGGCAAGAGGATAGGGGGGATGTATCCTCCTCAATCAAGAATGCCAATAATGCCTAGGATGAGGCATTGGCATGAGGTTTTGTCTCAATGAGACTTCCTCCCCTCTTCCTGTCCGCACAAGCCTCTTTGGCTTGTCCCCTCCAGCTATTTCTTAGTCAGCTATCCCACCTAAAAACGTGGGGTGGCCCCCACTTAGGTGGGAGGTCATCCCGTTATGTCCCGGTGTGTACAATCGGCCCCGAAAGTTGTATTTCTCGGTCCGTTTTAATTATATTTTATTTTATCGGGCCAAATAAAATATATGACGCGTTCCCAAAGATTATGGGCCTTTAGAATAGATGTACATTCCCCAACATAAATTTTGGAGTCTCCGAAACTCATTTCGGGCTGTTATCCGCTAAATTACCAATACCGGTAATTGGGCCCCGTTTGACCAACCGGTCAACTCCATGCCTTTCTTATGGCCCAAATACGATATCCACCACCATATACATATTATCTAGACCAAGATGAATATATTATGTGGTTCGGGAATTATCAGGCGGTCCCCGTTCCCGCTGTGGGCCCCACATGCAATTTACTTATTTACTATTCACGTAAAAGAAATAGTAAAAATTTACAATCACGCAATTTCTTAAATCATTCTTCAAGGTTTATTACATAATTTACTAAAAGTAAATATGCTCGGGGTCGGTGTTACAACCCGGGTGTCTTCGGCACTTTGGTTCCCCATCAACCTCACGTTGGGGAAAACATCATGCCTCCCCCTCATCCACACCCCCTCGGGAACCCTGTCCTTCGGATTGGGAACGTCGAGAGGGTCGTAGCCCAAGATACGACCTCCGATGAAGAAGATGTAGAAAGTAATTGCCTGTTTGGTGGCACGTAATTCTTTATTCCACGCGCTGAATTGCGTAATAATAAGAAAAAGTAAGGTACGAGTAACTTTTCTGACTGTATTGGCTGAAGTTACTATAAATGACCATTTTAGCTATTTTTACATATAATTTTTTCTTTATTTTATTAACAAAATAAATTTTAAATATTTTTTTTAACAAATCAGCAGAATCGGCCAATTCAGTCAGAAATTCATAAGTTTCAGCAGAATCAGATACCAAAATGGGCTCTAAAATTCTGCAAACTTAATTGTATTCATTAACTCATACTGTTCATTTGCTGTAAGACATTTTTCTTGTTGAGCTGTAAGACATACGTAGTATTACACAGACACACAGTGATTCCTAACTAAGTTTACTACGCAAGTAGCTAATAGCTTAACTATATCTTCACATCCCTCCTCAAGCTGGAATGGAAGGAAAACATTTCACTCAAAGCTAGATTGATAAAAACAAATGTTGTTCTACACCAAGAGGTTTTGTCATAATGGCAACACACATTTAAGTGTTTACTTCTTTCATTGATTGAATAAAGTATGAATGGATTGGATATTATTTCAAATATGGTATGAGAGGTAAAGAAAATAAATGTGGCGACAAAAATTAGTTGAGGAATAATACAGTATAAAGCAGTTACTCCGTATTAGTTGGAGAGAAAAAAGAAAGTGAGAAGTAAGCCGATATTTGAAAGCGGTCTTGTGTACATATTATAACATACTATCCTCCGTATCTCATTAATTGCAACATTGGAATATATACATTATTCAAGTACTTTACTTTGACTACATTTTATTTATTAATGTATGTGAATTATTTTTTTTGAAAAATGTTGTTAAATTCATCTCATTACTAAGTTTTATAATCTGATTTTTATTTTATTTTTACTAATACAGAATTAAATATAATGATGGTCAAAGTTGTGCGTCGGCAAACGTGAAATGTTGACTGTTGCAACTAAAAAGAGACGGAGGAAGTATATACTTCCTCCGTCCTAAATAAACTTCACACTTTGACTTCACACAAATTAAGGAAATAAATTTGACTTTGTTGTAAAGTACACTGTTGTTACACTGTTTGACACTGTTTGACACTGTTTTGATATAGATAATTTGTCAAATAAGGAAGGGAGAAGAAGTGTGAAGTTTATTTTGAATACCCAAAACGGAAAGTGTGAAGTTTATTTAGGACCGGAGGGAGTACTTGTTATAAATATAACAATGTTATTTTTACATTTTTTTTGTACACTTGTTTGTGTGCATATATACTTAGTACTATTTATTCAAAAGCGATCTTGTAATAATAACAAAATGGAAAAATTAAATATTGTAAATCCCACGCTCAAATTTAAACATAACATGTAAAATCAATAGTCTTAATAATTACTACTTTGACCGTAGTGTATGTTTAGTAATTCTAATAAATTTTGTATGCTTAGTATCTAGTTAGACCAAAACTAATAATAGGAAATAGAAAAGCATAACGAAAAAAATATTAGATATAGATAGGTTAAATGCTAAAATGGATTGTATTTTATTTATACAATAAAATTATAAAAGTATATACTCCCTTTGTCCCGTTGGAATGTTCTCGGTTTGACCTACACACATATTAAGGAAATAAACTTACCAGTGTGTAAATTTTACTGTTTTGACAATATTTCGACACTGTTTGGCACTGTTTCGACACTGTTTGACACTGTTTTGCACTGTTTGACCCTGTTTTGATGTAGGATAACTTTCCATTCAGGGAAATGAGAACTTTTTAACGGAACATCCAAAAAAGGAAAACGGAAACATTTCAACGGGACGAAGGGAGTATAAGCAAACGGTATAAATCAGTTCTACTCATTTGAAAATGGTTGAGATCAATTCAGTATAAAAACATGAGAACACATTAATAAGTTCTATTCACATTAATTCGTTTTCTCTGCCCACCATTACTTATTTTTTCTTTCAAAATAATTTAATTTATGATTTTTTCAATTTCTTCGGGGTTTTTTAATTGATCAGAGCTTGCTTGCTTTAGCAAGGAGTAGTAGTATGTGCGCTGAAAGCGTTTTGGCATGACCAACGCCCAACGGTCTCTAGTCTCGGCGGACACAGGCCTCTCCTTATGCAACTCGACTCAAAACCCTATTGGGATTTTGAGCTAAATAATACTTTCTCCACTCCTAAAAAGGGTTTCGTTTTCTTCCCTAGCAGTCTAGGGTTTCGGCCGTGATACTTTTTATCGAAATTTGTGATTTGACTTCGTAATTCTTTGTGATCGCATGCATGGCGACTGAGATGGAAGAGAGGTGTGCCCGCTTAAACTTGGAAGATGAAGACTCGGATGGTGTGGAGTTTGATGACACTGTTATGGAAGGGGTCAAGGCGCAGATTACACACTGCCTGGTTGGGCGGATTCTCACAGATAAGGTGGTTAAATTCCCTTTCTTTAGGGATACAATTGCGGACATCTGGAGACCTGGGCGAGGGGTGCACATTCGGGAGTTAGGGGAAAGAAGATATCTATTCCAGTTTTTCCACCCAGTTGACGTAGAACGAGTATTGTCAGATGGACCCTGGTCTTATGAGAACAATCTCGTTATTCTGCATAAGCTAGAAGAAGCGGAGGACCCGACCTTCATTCCATTGAGGCACGAAATTTTCTGGATCCAGGCTTATAAAATCCCTATGCGTTACTTTACTGAAAAAATGGCCCAAATTATTGGAAATCAGGTGGGAGACTTTGTTCATGCTGATCCAAACAATTTTAGAGGGGGCTTGAAGACTTTTATGAGGATCAGGGTGAAACTTGACGTCTCCAAGCCGTTGATGACCAGTGTGAAGTTGAAGAAGGGGGCAGAATCATTTGTGGTGGAGTTAAAATATGAGTGGTTGCTTCATTTTTGTTTCATTTGTGGACTTATGGGTCACGTCGAAAAATATTGCCCCCGTCGTTTCGACGGTCCAGTTTGGAGCATGGTTGAGGGCTGGGGGAAGGAGAGGCAGCATGAGTCAAACGAGCAGGTGGTTAGTAGATGGTGAAGGGAATTTTTTAAGCCCGGCAGGAGTGGAGTCTAAAAGGGATAGAGCTACGGAGGATCTTTTTCCAGACACGGTGGATGTGGGGGAAGGGGTGGATGCTACTGGAGGCTCTTTTAATAGGGCAAAGGTTGGCAGTAACTCTAACCTGGTGTTATGGCAGGAGCAGAATTCTGGTGGAGAGGTCCTATGTCCGAGCAGTGGAGTGGCAAAGAAACGAAAGGCAGTAGGTATGAAAGAGACGGAGGATTTTTTACTTTCAAAAAACGGAGTAACTGCGGGTTCTGGATTCCAGGCCCGCCGAGAATCATGAGTTGCTTGAGTTGGAACTGTCGTGGGCTAGGCAACCCTGCGACAATTCAAGCTTTGGTGGACTTGATCCACCTGAAGAGGCCGTGGTTGGTTTTTTTAATGGAGACTTTTTCGAATTCTCAGCGAATTCATGAGGTGATGAGGAAAGTAGGTTTGAAATATTGTTTTGTCGTGGACAGTGAGGGGCATAGAGGTGGCTTAGCGCTTCTTTGGGGGGATGGGGTTCACGTGGATATTCAAAACTCCTCGCCCCATTTTATTGATGCTTGCGTACGGTTGGAGGTGGAAGATCCTTTATGGGGGTTCACTGGTTTTTACGGGTGTCCAGAACGTGGAAAAAGAAGAGAGTTCTGGAATATTTTAAAATCTTTGAGCTTGGAGATGAGCATTCCATGGATTGTTATGGATGATTTCAACGATCTTATGGTGGCTTCTGATAAGCGCGGCAGTGTCCCACATGGCCACATCCTCCCTGGCTTCTGAGGGGTTTTCGGGAAACTATTTGGACGAGTGGATTGCAGAACTTCCCTTTTCAGGGTTATCAATATACTTGGGAGCGGTGGCGGGGTACTCAATTTTGACGGGGTACTCAATTTTGAGTGGAGGGAAAGTTAGATAGGATCCTTCCCGTAAGTTTCACCGTAGGAGTAAATTCAGATTCGAAAATTGTTGGCTTCGAGATGAGGATTGCAGGTCACTAGTAGCAAGGAGCTGGAATCTGGGGGCTGACAAAGGCATTATTGGTCAAATTGAATTTTGTGGGAAATCAGTATGGGAGTGGGGCAAAAAAAGAAACGGATCATTTGGCAGGAGAATAAGTTTATGTCGTAAGCGTTTGGAGTTCCTAAGCTAAGAAGACATTCGGATGAGTGGAGTCTGACAGCTTTTCAACGGGTAAAGGGAGAGTATATAGAACTTTTGGAGCAGGAAAGTATTTTTTGGCGCCAGCGGGCTAAAGAGTTTTGGTTCAAGGGAGGTGACCTTAATACTAGATTTTTTCACAATTCGGTGAGGCACCGCAGAAGAAAAAATAGAGTGGAAGGACTGAGGTTGGAAGGGGGCAACTGGGAGAGAGACATGACCGAACTTGGCCGGATAATCAATGATTATTTTAATAATATCTTCTCTTCTGTGCACAGTAATGAGAATTTTTTATTTCATTGTGTCCCTAGAAAATTGGATGAGTTTCATAATGTGGAGCTTCTACGGCCTATTCGAGGAGAGGAGGTTAAAGCGGCTATTTTTTCCATGTATCCTGATAAAGCGCCTGGTCCGGATGGGATGAGTCCGAGATTTTTTCAACACTTTTGGGATGTGGTGGGGCCTGATTTTATCAAATTTTGTGCAGATGCTTTCCAATCAGGTAAACTTCCCAATTCTATTAATCATACCAATATTGTCTTGATTCCCAAAAAGGATAGCCCGGAGTCTCTTGGTGACTGGAGACCTATTACCCTTTGTAATGTGACATATAAGATTTTTTCTAAAGTTTTAGTTAACAGAATGAAAGATGTGCTTTATTTGTTCATTTCTGAGACCCAAAGTGCATTTATTCCCGGTAGGTCTATCATTGATAATATCATGTTAGCTTTCGAGTCGCAACATTATTTGAAGCGTAAGACGCGGGGTAAAATGGGGTTTGTGAGTCTAAAATTAGACATGAGCAAAGCCTATGACAGGGTGGAATGGACTTTCTTGGAGGGTATGATGAGGCATTTGGGGTTTGCTGAAATGTGGATTAATCTGATCATGGAATGTGTCACATCGGTGACTTATTCTATCCCTTTTGATGAGTCGGAGTTAGGGCCCATTTTTCCTACTCGAGGGTTGAGACAGGGTGATCCTTTATCACCTTATCTTTTTCTCATAGTGGCGGAAGGTTTGAGTGCTTTATTGAGGCATAGTGAGGAAACAGGGCGCTTACATGGTGTGGCCGTTGCCCGTGGTGCCCCCCAGATTTCCCATTTGTTATTCGCAGATGATAGTTTGCTTTTCTTTAAAGCAACTCACGGGGAAGCTTCTTTAGTGAAGGAAATTTTACATGACTATGAGATGGCCTCGGGGCAGATGATCAATCTTAATAAATCAAGAATTTTCTTTAGCCCCAATGTTCCAAATGAGCATCAAGTTGGTCTCATTGAGATGTTGGGAGTGGGGCTGGCTGGTGAGGAGGAAAGGTACTTGGGGTTGCCTGCAATGGTAGGGAGAAGTAAGCGGAAGATTTTAGATTATTTGAGACAAAGGATAGTTAACCGCATTCAAAGCTGGAATAATCAGTTCTTGTCCAGAGCAGGTCGAGAAGTTCTTCTTAAATCTGTGGTCCAAGCAATGCCGAATTATGCAATGAATGTTTTTCTTTTTCCGAAGGATTTATGTCGGGAAATGGAAGTTCTTATGAATGCCTTTTGGTGGATGGGGCAATCTGGGAAGGGAATCAAGTGGCGAAGTTGGGATTTCTCGTGTAAGCCTAAGAAGTTGGGAGGCATGGGATTTAAGAAGATTAGAGATTTTAATTTATCTATGCTAGCCAAACAAGCTTGGAGACTTTTTACGGAACCCGAGACCTTAGTGGCGCGGGTTTTTAAAACCCGATACTATCCTAAGGGTACTTTCTTGACTGCTAAAATTGGGCATAACCCATCTTTTATCTGGTATAGCATCTTTCAGACACAAGGAATTATAAAGGATAGCTATTACTGGCGTGTAGGTAACGGGGAATCTATAAATGTGTGGTCTGAGCCGTGGTTACCGGATGGGATTAATCCTAAGGTTTAAACCGCCCCTGTAGTGGGTCTTCATAATAGTAGGGTGGTGAATCTTTTCTGCACACAAGAGAAGAGTTGGGATTCAGACCTTATATGTGATATTTTTGAACCAAGGGATGCTAGGCTTATTCAAAGCATTCCTCTCAGTTTTAGATCGGTTCCAGACAAGGTTTGTTGGCGGTGGGAGACGAGCGGGCGTTTCTCTATTCGCAATTGTTACCGAAAGTTGGTCGGGGAGTTCGAACGAGCGGGATGGATTGACTGGACTTCTATGTGGAATTGGAAGTTACCCCCCAAAATAAATAAAAAATTCTGGCAGGTTTGTTGTGGTCTTCTCCCGACCAGATTGAATCTTCGTTATAGGAAGGTGGATTGTGTGGTGGCGTGTGAACTCTGTGATAATGAGGAGGAGTCGTTGTTCCCTTTTATTCGTTGATTGACCGGTCGCTAAGGAGGCTTGGAAGGGGGTGAATTGGGTTTGGTCTCAAAATAGCGCCAGGGAATTTTGGTTGCAGCTGCAGGTTGAGTTTAAATCAAGGCAGACGGATGACTTGAGGAAACTCATTTGGGGTTGTTGGGGTCTGTGGGCCAAGAGAAATGTCAGGGTGTGGAAAGGGGTTCGAGTAGAACCAAGGCTTATTCTATTGAAAACTAGAACTTATTTTGTAGGTTGGGAACAAGCTCAACAAACTGCTATAGCTCTAGCCAATCAAGGGAGTACATGCACTTCACTTTGGAGAAGACCGTTGCAGGGACGAGTCAAGCTTAATGTGGATGCAGCAGTGCGGGACTATCATTGTGGCCTGGGTTGGATTCTTCGGAACGAGGAAGGAGTGTTTGTCGCGGGAGCTGCGAAGTCATGGCGGGGGAAATTATCCCCATTGGAGGCTGAACTGGTGGGCATTAGGGAAGCACTAAGCTGGGTCAAGGAACAAGGATGGGAGCGGGTGGATGTGGAATTGGATGCTGCTCGAGCCATTGCTGAGATTAAAAATGGCTCCTGTATTTCTTCAGCAGGAGTGATAGCAGAAGATGTGAGAGATTTATGCTCAAGGATGATGGATATTTCCTTTTGTTTTATTAGACGATCTGCGAACAGGGCGGCTCATGGCTTTGCTCAAGTCGCCTGTTCTATGTCTGGTTGTCGGATTTGGATAGGAGATCCTCCTAATTTCATTACTCATGTACTGAACAGTGATTTGATTACTATTAATTAAGTTTGTTTCTTTCAAAACCCTATTGGCGAACCCATTCGCCATCAAAACTGAGTCCCAAGTCACACAACTATATGCACTAATCATCAAAATCAGATAGCTAATTAATTTTTAAAATTTACTGTCACTTTATTTCAACTACATTCCAAATATTCTTGATTTTCATTTTCCATCGAGTTTAATGCGTCAAAATCCCCTTGTGATACATAAATTTTGATTTGAAAAATAATCCTTCAAACACCCATTTTATAATTAATTATGCACACTATCATTAGAAGAACAAATTTAATACTAGCTAGTAAAAGAATCGAAAAATAATTAGCATTTTTGTAGAGTATAATTTAGAAACCTTGACAACTGACAACTTTACTTATATGTTCAATTATAACGTCACATTCCATTATGTGATTTTTAAATTGCTAAATTTAATACTTAAAGTTATTCTATGGATGATTGATTATACGGAGTATCTTATTCTATGTATTCCGATCCATCCCTTGAAATTTTGTCAACTTTTCTTTTTGTTTATCCCAATCATCTATTAACTTTGTCACTTTCCCTTTTAAGTAAAAAAATTGTGATACCAATTAATTCTCTCTCTTTTGCACGTAACTAGATTTTCACCCGTGCGATGCACGGAACAAAAATTAGATAATAATTAGGGAACATATCATATGATTTGTTAACATTATTTGTTAATGTGTAAATGTATCAAAAAGGTATAGATGAAATATAAAATAAGAAGTTATGATCCAATATTATTATATGACACAATATGAAAGAATAATGAATGTGTAAGAGTTAATAATATACTCCCTCCGTACCGAAAATGTTCGCCAAATTGATTTTTCTTGGTCAATGACAATCAACTTTGACTAATGATATTGTTTAATACGAAATTATTTAGAATATGAAAATTATATCAAAATGTCCCTTAATCAAAATATTGTAATGAAAGTATAAAACTTATAAATTATATAAAAACATAATAATGAAATTATTGTCCAAAGTTTTCTATCATTGACCAAGAAAAGTCAATATGACAAACCTTTTCGGAACGTAGGTAGTAAGTGATAATGTGATATTGTCTTAAGTAACTATATATTTATTAAGTATTGTTTTTAGCAATGCTAAATCTATTTCTTAATCCAAATACCACCTTCTCCATTATCAATCACCACCCGAGTTGCATAGTGTGATTTTTTTCCACACCTTGCGATCTCACTTTTGACTTCCCATAATTTCATAATATCATTGTAACGAAGTCCCCCATCAATAATTGCAAACACAATTGTGAAAAATCAGTACTTCTCATAGTCCTTTCTCTTCTAATGATTTCCTTTGATGCATAGTCCATATATATGAGAAAGGGAGAAACAAAAATTAAATGCTGAATTTAATTAATTTCAAGTAAATCTGTAATTATGCTCTCACTCTACCCTTAAATGCCCTTAAAATTAGTCAAAATATGTGCACCTATGTGTCACGTGGTCTCTTGTACTGATCGAGATAAGAACGAAAAAATCAACAACTTATGCCTTTTACACTTCAAAATGGCAATATAATTTAAGGTAATGTGTGGTAATGTGTTATCAATAATTTAAATTCTAGAAATGTCCAAATTGAATACCCTATATTTAAAAAACATAAAATATCTCAGTCAATACCCAAGAATTTGAAAACCTTAGATGGTCCTAAAATCACCCTCATCAAACCTGGAAATCGGTTGACTAATTTAAAGAAGGGATTACAAAAAAAGATTCGATTAATAAAAAGCTAATTCAAAAGTTAGATTATACCGACCTTACCGTGAAGAGCCGCGAAAGGTATAGCTTTTCCCAAAATCTTCTCAACACCAGATGAAGAAGCAAAGAAAGACATCGTTAGGAAGGAAGACCAGTTCTAATCACATGTACATTTTTTTGTACTTTTCCTATATAACAATCAATAAAAAAACGTAAATAAAATTGTGAAGATATACATCAATGATTTTATTATACATAAGGTAGGATACCGAATATACTTAAGTGAGTATAGTGATTTTCATAAATACCAACTATAAAGAAATGACATATAATAAATTTGGAGCGCATCAATACTATTAGTTATTGAAAATATCACAAGTTGATTATTTCTTTGTAGGGAAGTGGGCCTAAGTTGCCAATCTTAAGAAGGTGGGAGGTTCCATGAAATTGGTAAACTGTTTGACGTTCTACGCTTACCTGTGGATTGATGTTTATTTAATCCCACCTTAACTAAAGTCTACCCCGTTGATATACTTTCTAATCAAATTAAGAGTAGATTTTATCATGTCTTAACTAAAACTGATTATTCCTCGTTGTGTCATTCATTTATAGGAAATGCTAATCGATTCTAAGCCAGTTTGGTTCTGAAAGGGTTAATAGAGGCAATCAGGCAGCAAGTGTAACATATTCAGGAATTCAAGTCAATTACTTAAGCTTGGATGAGAAGTTAGAAATTTTTTTTTTGGATAAAGCATATGTGCAGTTGTTTTTCCAATCTGTCTTCTTTCATTGTTGTTTTGTTAACGCATTAGGGGTCAATATCAGGATAACATTAATTTACTCCTATTTTAGGGATTATAACACAGAAATCATCGTCATATAGTCATTGTGATAATTTACTCCTATTTTAATATGTTGTGGCCATAGTAACATTATCACAATGACTATATGACGATGGTATCATGGTGGTATTTTAGCAGTGATTGCAATGGTGACAATGTAGTTATATTTTTTTGCTCATCAATTCTATTTAGTATAATTATAGGAAAAAACATAATGTATTATTTGTGGTACATTTAATGTACATTAATAAAGAGATCAAAACTAACTTACTTGAAGGGTGTCACCAAGTCATGCACCTAGGTTATGTTCATTAATTAATTCCCACGCAAAGACGGTTGTATCATCTCTGTACTCAATTCCGGTAACTGGTTTTTCCTAGTAAGCACTCTGCGAACAGAAGATTGAAAACATTGATATATGTACAACAATGACATTATAGAGCAATAATCTTTTATGAGTTCAAGATTTTTTTTAACGCTAAAGACAAACCAGATGAGTTTTTAAGGTCTTGGGTTAGACCAGCGAGTGGTTGGATTCGATTTTTTATTGTAGTTTGAACCATCTTCATTATGTCCCAGTTGGGCGACTTCAACCCAATTATGAATCCTACTGAATAGCATTCTAAGAAGGGCTTGACGGTCAGCAGTTGACATCCATCTTTATAATAACGCATTAATGATGCTATATATATATATATATATATATATATATATATATATATATATATCACAAAGAGAGGTTGAATTACTGAAAAAGACTTTACCTTGACTTAGTTCTTGAAGTATTCATGGATGATTGGATCGTAAAAGAATGAATCACCGGAAGAGCTTAAATCAAGACCTTCTTCCCATGCCTATTTAACATACAGAGTCTTCCCACTGTATGCCTTGAGATTATTACCAAACAAAGTATCAACATAATCTCGTTTTTCTTGGCGTTAGCTATTACATGGTCCAAGACTTGCAGTCCCTGCACATTACACATCTATGGAGTAAAGCTGAAAGTTAAAATACACTTTCAGCAGTGGAAAAACAATTAGAACATAATTAGTTCTGACATGTAGAACTCCCAATGACATTTTATATATATAGATAAATGATTATCTAAAGGCTGATAATCTTGTGTTTAAATAACTACAACATGATCAACATATTACAACTATAAAAAAATATGTATGCAAATAAATCCAATGTTTTTAATTTGACTAAATTCTACATGTGTGATCTAATCTGATCTGAACTCGTCTAGTAGATATTAGATTATGGTAGTTTACAATTCTCAAAATATGGCATCTTCTGTTGTAGCCTTCTTGGAGTGAATCAATGCAATTAAACATAAACAAATCATAAAAACAATCAGATAAATCTTAATTACACATAAACAAATAAGAGATTCCCAATTCAATCATTCAATGTGAAGTAAAAATTAGAGCTTACCGGAAGAATGACCATATAGATAGAGCAGTATGTTGCCGCAAGAGAAGGTATGAAAAAAATACTCTTGCTCACAATAATTAGACCTTATTTTACCTGTGCAGTAAAATAAGAGATTCCCAATTCAATGTGAAGTAAAAATAAGTTGGCCGTATGTTGACACCAGAAGCCCCTGGAAGAAATCTTATCATCGTCTTCTTCCTAAAGCTCGCAAGTTGCAGAGCTAGATATTAGATAAACAGAAGCCGCCAGTCTGCCACTCGCATCGTCGGCCTCCTCCACCTCCTTGGTTGCCACCGTCTTGCTGACTCAAAGGTCGATCGAGGTCTATGACCCTCCATTGAGGTCGCTATAGAGGATGCGACACTTCTAGCAGTTGATCGTCCGATGTTTTACCTCATCCACGCCAAGTCGCCGTCTGGAATTCAGAAGAATAGCTGAAGTTCCTGCTAGCTGTCGTAAGCTCCTGTGACATTTTGCATTGCTCCGCCGATTGTATATGAAATCGTCGATATTCTCAGGCGTAAATACGAAGTATATTAACTACGGAACATTTTTGCTTCTGGTATGGTTTCAGCCCAGAGAACCCAACCCGACTCCACCGGATGCAAATTTAGAATCGACTATAATGGACTAATGGAGTGCTTTCTATCGATTGACGGCCAAATATGTGTCGAGAATATTTGAATCCAGATTTAGAATAGACTCTAATGGAAAGCAGAAAAGAGTGGCAACCAACACCTTTCTCGTCACCCGATGCGTAATACAGAGTGCTCCGTATTGTTCACTTGTTTAACTGTTGCTTAAAAGCTTCAAACACGCAACACAGCAAAAGTGCTTGTACATTACCCAATGCATTCGATGGAACAGATGAATGAGCTCATAGCCCACCTGACCCGACCCATTTTTTGACCCGTATCTTTAGGCGGAAAATAAGCAAACTTTCCACCTCCTTTTGTATATAGTAGGAAGTAGGATATCTCAATCAGATTTTACTTTATTAATTCCGTGATAATAAAAAATTGGACATATTTTAAGGGAAGGAGGGAGTACAGCAGTGTTCTCCCTTCTCACAGGTTAAAAGTTTTTTCACAAATGCTAAAGGTACCCCAAAATGTACCCCATTTTTACCCCCACCCCCTAATGTGTGGCCATAAATGAGGCAATTCATTTAAGTGGGGCAACACTTAAATGAATTGGTCCATTTATGGCCACAAATTAGGGGTTGGGGTAAAAATGGGGTACATTTTGAGGTACTTCTAGCAAAACTCAAGTTTTTTTCCCATAAATAACTTGAGTGAAAGCTTTTTGTTACTACGCATTTTCACCTCTTTTCTGAATTCAACGGCTATTCTTCAGACTTCTGACCGGGGCTTGTATCACTGTCCCTCTTCCACTCTCTCTCTCCCCTCGTACATATAATTCTCCGCCGAGTCACCTACTTCTCTTTCTAAAATTCAGTGAAAGCTAATTCACTTTCTCACTGCCGCCGTATGAGCATTTTGTACATCTCTGTGCTTTGTTACATCTGAACTAACTCAAACGAGCATTTGCTTCCAAATTTTTATAATAATATATCACAACCAGGAATCTGAGTGAGTGGTATCGTACATTACTCAGTTAAGCTGGCGTGTTTAAATCATCTCTCGAAGATTTGCAAGCTCAGTCCTCTATAGGCTGTGCGTCCGCATTGAAGAGGTGCTGACGTAATTCAACTCGGATCACCAGCTTCACTCAACAATGAAAGCGAGCACTCAGCTGGATTCAGTACTTTTCCGTTTAACTCCTACTCGGACAAGGTAAATTTGCTGATTGCCTGCGAAAATGGTAATTTGTTTTGTTTCTTTGAATCTTTAGCTACTTTTCTGCTCTACCCTCTACTCCCGAAGTTCTATGAATGTCGATGGTCTTATTTTATTATGGACATGCATGCCACTGTTCAGTGGGGGGTGTAGTAAAAATGTTTATGGATTTTGGCTGCTTTGCACAAACTCTGATGATAATAGATTTTGGCTGTAAAAAAGCTCAGACAGATCAATTGCTGGGTTGATCTAATTACTGAAGAATGTTTTACTTCTTCTTAATGTCAGATGTGATTTGATTATCATAGCAAATGGGAAGAAAGAGAAGATTGCTTCGGGCCTGTTAAATCCTTTTCTTGCTCACATGAAGTCTGCTCAGGAAAAAATTGCAAAGGGTGGTTACTCAATTATTCTTGAGCCACCACAGTCTCAGAGTATTATATCATGGTTTACAAAGGGCACTGTGGAAAGGTTTGTATGTAGATGTGGTGGTTTTATATAGGTATTAGGCCGTTAGGTGCATAAGCTTTTTCTGGTTATTGATGTTCATTAACACCCCGGGAGATAGGGTAATTAGTAGTGCATTCCAGTATTATCTGTCTTCAAAGCATGTGTATTCTTTCAAAGGGTAAGTATTACAAGCATTGCACATCTGCTGCTTTACTGGGTTAAATGTTCCATTTTGTGTCTGCTGTATGTTTCAAATAATGAGATTGCACAATGTCAAAGTCACAATGCAAAGCTGTGATCGGTGCATATGGTTTCAGATAAATAAATTCCATTAACTGGCACCAAGTACTGTATATGGTTATGCTTTTGCTTTATGGATGACATGCATTCCCTTTTTGGGAATTTGGATGTTCCAGATTAATTGCAAAAAACAATTCCAGAAGGGAGTACTTTTACAAATCTCATGTAGCTCACTTTAAAGTTAATACTCATTTATCATGACATTGTTGTGATAACTGCATTTCTTATCACTGTCACAGCATAATCAATGCGGTTGGTGAATATTTTCAGAATTATTGACTATTTGGGCTTGACATTTGTCGCACTGTATAGGTTTGTGCGTTTTGTGAACACCCCAGATATCCTAGAAAGAGTGTACATTATAGAATCTGAGATCATACAGATTGAGGAAACAATTGCCATTCAAGGGAAAAATGACATTCAACATTGCCTTGTAAGTATTTAAAGTCAGATTGTTAACTCTTATCCAGGTTACAGTGTATAACTCGACTCATATATATTGTTTCTTTGACAGGTTGAGGATCAGCAAACAAAGGCATTCAGAGACTGTGCTGGTAATCCATGAGAAACAAATAAATTCTTAACTTTAGTATAAGGTAGTTTATAGTAGGATTTCCTTGTTTCTCTACTGTAGAAAGTGAGCTGTAATCTAATTATAGCCTTCTTGAGTCCAGTATGGCAGTATGTACTTAACACTTTCTGTCTTATATCTGGTTCAATTTCATATTCCCGTTTCATGATCTTTAGGATGTTTTTGTTGTTGTTGTTGTTGTTGTTTCATTATTAGTGCAATCCAGTTAGACTGTTGTTTCTTATGTTCATTTAGAATGCCAATGCCTTTGTCCACTCAATCCATTTAGATTGTTGGCTGCTTCTGGCCAATAGTACTCAGTAAAACCTTCTGACACCCAAAACTATTGACAGGTAGCAAATCCACAGTAGTTTCTAATGGTAATAAAGCTGTTGTCCTTTACCAGGTAAGTATTGGCTTATATGCCCTCTTTATGGTGTATGTGTTTTCCACTTTTCTAATATACTCATTTGGTCTTTATTTTCTATTTTTTATACAGCCTGAGGAGCATTTACCACAAGCAAGTGGTTCATTTTCACAAGATGGGAACTCCAGGTATATCTATCTTCTCCTGATTCATTTATTGCTTGAGTTTTACATTGTTCCTTGGATTTGTGAAATTGGTTATAGCAATTTATTTTCTCTTACCTGTAAATAAGATAACTTGATAGTGCTTAACAAATTGGCATGCTGTAGATTTGGTTGGTGTAATAGTCTATACCCGAGAAAGGAGACTGAATCAGGACTGTTGTAAATTGCAATTAACTGTGTTTGTAGTACAATGGCTATAGTGCCTTCGGTTGTGATTACATGTAGAACGGAAATGTCACTGTTTTTCTTCCGTTGCCGGAATCTGATTCCAGCTTCATATGTAATTTTCTTCTTACAATATTAGTCCATCTAATATTCCTTTATTTAGGCTTAAACTTTAATGGACTTGACTTTTGGATGATAATTAGATTTTTACCATCAATACATTCAACAGAAGGGCAGATATTGTAGACCACATTCCTCACCCCAACACTGGACACATAGGGAGAAATCAATGATTTTGGACTGCTCAATGCCATTAATTGGCATGATATATGGGTTTTATTTAGATTTAGGTAAATGTATATTGTATTTTCATCTAATCTCATTGGTCTGAGATCGTTTGGCATGAGATTCACCCCTATTTTCTGTTTTCTCTTCGTTATTGTATTCCTATTCTCTATGTGTGCATATCCAAGTATATGTTTATCCAAAAGCGAACACAGAAAGCTTGGTTGTGGTGGGGTGGAAAGCAGGGATCATACATAACAAGTGCCCAAACATGTGAATAATTAATTTAATTAAGCAACATTGGAACAAGAACACAAATCATATTATCATACCTACCTACTTCTTTGAGATTGGTCTGAACTTCTGAGAGAAACTACTCATGCATAAGGTGGCACCGTGGCAGAGCTGAACATAGAAAAGGTGTGGTGATGGGCGACAGACAAAAGAAAATGGGTGAGACAGAGGACGAATTAGAACCCAATGAAATTGGCTTATTCTTTGGTTTTTTCGTCTTATATGTTTTAGAGTATAATTTTGTGGAATAGACTATTTTCTTTACCTTGGGAATAAGTATCCAAAAAATAATTGTAGTATACTCGCCCGCTTTTGAGGTTCTTCTAACACGAAATATGATATATTTACTATCAAGAGCTCTAATTTCTTAATGGCATGTCTGTTAGAGTACAGATATTGAAAATCTTACAGACTCGCAAATCCGTGCTGGAAAAAGAACAGTGCATGGCCTTTGAACGTGCTGCAGCTGCTGGTTTTCATTTTGATGACATGCCTTTCCTTCTATCATTTGGTAAATGCTTTGGAGCTTCACGCTTGAGGTAATAATTTTCAAAAACTCATATTTGTGTTGAATGGCAGAAAAAGAAGAACATGATTATCACTTGAACAAGATGGAGAAATGAGTTTTCTGATTTCTCATCTTACCTTTCTAGTTCACTCGGCCTGTCTCACTCAAGTTTCTTTCTTTCTCATTTTAATTTATATGAGAATTGTGTTTCAGGGATGCCTGCTTCAGATTCATGGAACTCTGGAAGAAAAAACACGGGTTTGGACAACACCTTGAAACCAGAGAAGCAGAAGTAGTGGCAGGCCAAACAGATTTATTTGACAAGAAGGCTTCATACAGTAATGAGAAGCTAAGCACAGAATGCATTGCAGGTAAGAAAGCAAAGTCATTTGACCCCTCTTGGTGAATCTGTAATTTTTCTTGAGCATCTCTGGTTATATGCTGGATATTTTGCCCCCACTAACTGCAAGTCTACAAGTGCATGTGGGGGTATAAGTAAAAGATATTAACATGGTTCTTAGCTGCCAATATATGTAGTGCCAATTAAAGTGCACCCAAAGAAGGCATTTCTAAGAAATCATGTGTTAATGACATCTGAAGATAAAAATATACTCTATGACATTTATGTTGCAAAATATTAAAATGGCTTACATGCTGACCATAAATTACTTGTTATTTTTTCCACGCATCAAATTGTTGAAACTGGCAACACGATCCTTTGGATGCACAAGCAATCCAAAGAAATCAACATCTTATTTCCAAGCTCTCTACAACTCCTTTTTTGAAATAATCCATTGCATCTTTTTATTGAATATCTAAGAGGACCTGTTATGACAGGGACATGAAGAAATCATCGTCTTCTTTCCTCAAGTGGAAGGGGTATTAAAAATAAAAGAATAACGAAAAGCAATGAAATAAAAATAATAGGAAATAAGGTATACCAACTTGAATGTGCTCATCAAAGAAGTGACAACTTTAAAAACCCTATCAAGTTTTTTTGTGTTTACCTATTCAGGTCAAAGGCATCCTATGGATGCACATCTGCCAAAAGGTCAACATGAAAACCCTCAAGGCCAGCTTCCTACCTGGTCAATGTATTCTCAGTCCTCTGCCCCACCTCCTTTGCAACCATACTATGTCCAACGACTGCCATATTATCACACTTATTTACAGAATAACCCTCTTTATCCTCCTTACGGTGTGGAAGACGCTCAAGTGGGTGTCATGCAGAGAAATGGACCAAAAATACCATTGACAGATACGAAATGTAGCAACAATGAAGTAAAGATTGAAGCTTCTCGGTCAACTAAATCAAAAGTTAGCAATCCAAATTCATATGATGAAAGGGAAGTTCATAAACCTGAAATTGATGGTGGATACTGGCTAGCATTTCAAAACATATTATTTAGAGAATCAAGTGAAGATAATTATACTGAAAAGGGCTGCATGTCTGCAAAGGGAAAAGGTATACAGATACAGAAAGATCCTACAGGTGATGATCATACAACTCTTGGTGGGAAAGGTGCAGATGATTTGCAGGATAGTAGGGAGAATGTCATCCACAGAGTTAGTATAGACATGCCTTGCTGCATCCCCAGTGGATCAAGTGATGGTGTTTTACTTTCTATCAGGGAGTGCGGCAACATCTTGGGACACGATGATCAAATTGACCTTCAGTATGCTGAGACAAATGGGGGAAAGGTCTATGCCGAAACTGTGAGTCATGATTCTATGTTGGCTGGTTGGGAACACTTCTCAGGGTCAAGAAATTCTATAAATACACTTACTGAAAAGAGACTTCAGAGTGTGACTAATAAACTGGATAAAACTTCCACACAATATATGGCTGATGAATCTTTTATAGCACCTGGTAGGTCAATGCTATTCAGTGGTGCTGTACCAGAAATTACCACTCATTGTGACTGCGAACTTCCTACAACTACTGGAAACACAGAAAGCATCTCAAATGGAGTTAGAAGCCATATCAATTATAAGCCTAGTAATCTAGACCTAATTTATAAATGTGTGCCAGAAGAAAATCCCAGAAGGTACAACCCCACTTTGGTCTATGAAATGCAATCTCATGTTAAAGATAATGTTTCGCAGGAAAAGGGAAAAAAGAAAGCCTCCAGTATTGTGAAAGAAGTAAATACGAAGATAGACAAGGACCAGATAGGAAAAGCTGATTTAGATAATAAAAAGACTATAGGACCCATAAGAGGAGGAAAGCTATCCATGACAAGTCCTTTACATTATGCACGAGTTCATGCGGAGAGATTAAGACCCTTTAAGGAAGATTTCCAGAAGATGAAAATAGAAAAGGTACATTAGTTGAACCTTCATATACTTAATGTATAATATGGCTTCTGCTGCTTAAACTTAACAGTTGATCAATATATTATATTTTCAACTCACAAGTCAATATATAGATCAGGCGTTATTTCCGCATGCTTCCAATTTTTATCCATTCTTCTTTGATGACACATCTTCCCCACAAGTTCAAAGATGTACCGTTTTTTTTTCAGGAAGAGGAAGATATTAAATGCTTAGAAGCTTTAAAACTGGAAAGGCACAAGAGAATTGCAGCAAGAGGCAGCTACAGTTCTGCCCATTTATTGGTACCACTGTCGCAGAGAAGAAAGCAGCCAATAAACCCATTGCTATCCCCCATCAGAGGATCAAAGTTCAATGATTTAGAACCAGGATCATCATCACCGTTACAGAGATCCAAAATAAGAAATCCTCTTGTATCAACTATTTCCCCGGAGGATTCTAAGTCACATAAATTTAGTGATGGGCAGTCAAAAAATAACCGGTTAACAAAATCAGCATCATCATGGTCTGATTCCAATAAGGAAAGCAGTAATAGTGTGACACCAAATTCAAAAGCATCCACGACAAGGGTTAGAAAATTATCTGAGCCGAAGACTGTAAATTGGCCTGTTGCATCAGTCAAGGCACAAAGTTCTGAAACAGTGATAAGACTGAGGAAATCCAAAGAACCTGAGAACACCAAAATATCAGAAATCATGGACCTTGATACAACACAAGCTGCAACTCTTCCTGAACTGAAGATCAGATCCCCGAAAGGGCTTTCAGATAATATGAATGTTTCAGGACCTCCAGTAAATCCTGCAAATGTGAAATCATTGGCGAGTGGTGAAAAAGCTCCATGTGACAGTGCAGGTGATGAAAGCATTGTTGAGAAGACCGTAGTAATGCTTGAGTGTGAAAGCTCATCCTTACCTGTTTCCCATGCATCAGGAGAGGAATGTAGAGTACTTAGCCAAAAGTGTTACAGTCATGGCCACTTAGGGGAGAAATTTTCAGTAGTATTTGAGCATGCAGTGCCGACTGATGCACCTCCTTCACCTTTTGTGGGATTTGTCAGTGATCCTATTCCTGGCTTGGATCAGGGACAACTGAATTCATGTGAGGTAATCCTGGTAAAATATATTTGGCTATGGGAATTGTCCTTAAACTAGTCAACGCTTTTTGGCTCTAAATATTTTGTGGCAAACTTGAATCACTTGAAATGCATGGAAACTGGAATGGTATCAGTTCATTTCTTCTATAAATGCCTGTGTGTGTGACGTATGACGATATGAGTCCTGGGTATTCTATGTTTGTTTTTCATTGAACGGGGTTGCAGATTTAGTCTTGTGGTATTCAAATTTTATACCCACCAAGTATCAGTTTTGGACTTCTAAAATCAGTTTTGAGGGACTATCCTTATGCATGTTAATGTTTGGGACTAGAAAGTGGAATATCAGCACTATATGTACCATAGATCACTAAAAAAATCTTTTCAAGGTGGCATAATAAAGTAGATCATGACATTAAGTTTTTCATTATATATTGTTTTTCCAATAAGCATTTTGATTGTTTTTATAGGATATCCTCTATATTTAGTTTATGATCTAATTAATTTTGACCTCAAAGGTGTTAACTTAAATTCTCAAATGTCTTTTCACAATGGTTACTTTAAGCTGACAAATGCGCTTTTACTTTTTAGACAAGTACTCTGTTCCTAGCAGGGGTATGCACACTAATCCTTGCTTAGTACTGAATTGCATTTATGCACTTGCAAGTGTAGAGTACTAAACTACATAAATGGACAAATATAATTCATCGAGTTTCCATTAAGTGATCTGGTGATATTCACAGTTTTTATAGTAACTTGTCATATTAACCCTTGAAACTTATCAACTGTAGGATCTATGTTTTCAGTCGTATTATAAGGAAAATTAATCGCTGAGGCTAGAACTTGGAATTTTCTCACATATAGTACACATATACTCATTTAAAGGAAGCTAGTCTCACTTGTCTATACATTTTATTCACTGATGAATCCAACAGAACCTGTCATCTTATCCTGGGATGGTTTAGTGAACAATGGGGGAAGAAATTTCTTGATGAGTTTAGAATGATCTCAATAATAGTACTACTTCTGGGTTTTACTCATTTATTTCTCTGCGTGAATTCATGTACTTGACTACTTGATACATGACATATGGGAGGAGAAAACATTTATGAATCTAAAATATAGCCCCAATAGCAGTTCTACGTCTGGTTTTCACTTCATTGTTGCTTTGGAAGATTCAATCACTGCATGTTGACTGTAGAGAAGAGCATTGACAAACAGAACTAGTTCTCAATGTGTCGTTACTCGTTATCAAGGTTTTTATGACCCAACTCTTCAAGGTTTTTCTTGTTCTGTGTTTAGGTAGGAGCAAAATGTGCACATGAGACACCTAAAGTTGCAAAAGTGGACCCTGGTGGAAAACCTTATGAAGCTCCTTATGCTCATATGGCCTCTTTGGCAATCTCAGACTTGGCATTAGCAAAACCAATTAAATCACTTGTCGAAAGTGCTAGAACTGATGGGGAGTATACCATTCAGGAAGATTCAGCAAAAGCTCAAGTTAAGGAGCCACCAAGAGGCCTCTGGAGGCTATGGAAATTTGGTAAGAAGAAACACTGTCCCACTGCATGTGATAAAAATCTTGAAACAGACCAAAAAAGTGTTTATCAGCTAAAGCATCAGGATGGCCGTGCAGCAAATACAACTTCATCAAGTGAAGGTAATGTGACACTGACTAAAACATTGTTCATTTTGCTCTAAAAAATCTAGTGAACCTGTTCCCTTTATGATTTCTAGCACACTTGAGTGTCAGTGAGTATGACATTGTTGACCAAATACTAATACTCCCTCCGTCCCTTATAACTTTGCCAACTTTCCTTTTTTGGTTATCCCAAAAACTTTGCCACTTTCCCTTTTAATCAATCAATTTGTGGCTCATGTTATTTCTCTCTCCTCTGCTCAAATCTCTACCACACAGTTTTTACTTTATTATTTTACGTGCCGGTCAAACTTGGCAATCCTTTTAGGGACGGAGGGAGTATATTCTTAGGTGATTTATGGTTCTCAAGAGAAGTTTGCAAATTCACACAACAGAAAATAATACGTAGTAGATTTATTTAAATTCTCCTAGCTACTAATTAGTACCTGCCAAATCATGAATAAAAATCTATTCATCAGATCATTACAGTCAACTATTCCAAAGTCAGTTTGTTTCCTCTATAAGACATGTTGCTTATCCTGTCCCCTCCATAGTCCATACCTCAACAACATTCATAGGTACATCACAAGCAGCATTACACTGTAAAATATTACACATTCTTTTCATTTGTAAGGATCGACTATGACATTTATTAACGTTAACCCCATGTAGGTAGGAGTATATATCACAACAATTCCTTCTGTAGTGTAATCCTCGATCAATGTAACCTAAAATGCTATATTTCATTTATCAATGCTAGTCTCGAGCGGAAGGTTACACTATAGGTTGTACTGGTAAATCCTATTTTATTAGTGCCCATAAGAAGTATAGGGGAATAATCTCTACATCTAGGAATCAAGAAAATGAAAACTTTGTTTGAAATCAACTCCTCCTTTTTCTGCTCTGGATTTAAAGAATGGCTGAGAAAACAAGCACCCATCACGTTCGTATGTGGATACCTGTATAGCTGTATTACTATCTAAGGCTGTTGAAGTGACTTATTCCTGGAAATCAGCAGGCCTTCAAAAACAAATAAATGGTTGGGAGATTCTTATAATTTATGGTTTATACATATAAAAGGGCAGCTCGGTGCACATTGGCGTCCCCGCAAGGCGAGGGTCTGTGGAAGGCTCCCACTACAAGGATGTATATGGGGCAAGCCTTCCCTTGTCATTTTTGACAAGAGGCCGCTCTTAAGACTTGAACCCGTGACCTCTCAGTCACATAGCAACACCGTAACTGGTGTGCCAAAGCTCCCCTTCTTATGGTTTATGCATATATAAAAAATTAATTTTGGAGGCATTAAAAGCTTTAGCTTTAATTGCACTTAAAGAATTACTTACATTGTTGGAAGCATTAAAGAGCAAAGAAGTATCTGTGTGAACTAAAGCATCAGTGCAGAATGAGGCATGGAAATTGATTCATAACAGAAGCAGTTTTTTTTTTTGTTACAACGGAAGCAACTTTTTTTTTTGTTATAACAACAACAACATCCAAGCCTTAGTCCCAAAAGATATTGAGGTCGGCTAACATGAATCGATACATGATATCACCACCAAAAGGAAAAGAAAGAAAATAAAGATAAAAAAGATGAGCAATGATAAAAAGATAATATAAAAAGAGATGAATATACATAAAAATGATAAAATACAAAGGATACAAATAATGCTTATATATATAAGGATAAAAACAAGGAAAAAAGATGAGGGGAAAAGATGATACGAGATCACTCCTTCACTCGAATACCTGCCCTCCACTTAGCTCTCTCCAAAGTCATGCCCTCATCCAACCCCAAAAGAAGCATATCACTTCGAACTCCCCTAACCCACGTCTGTTTGGGTCTTCCTCTTCCTCTATTCCCTGCCTCTTCTCCACACATCTCAACTCGTCTGGCAGGTGCATCACTCGGTCTTCTACGCACATGACCAAACCACCGTAAGCGCGATTCCCGCATCTTGTCTTCAATAGGTGTTACTCCCACCATTTGTCTGATTGTCTCATTCCTCACGCTGTCCTTCCTAGTATGCCCACACATCCAACGCAGCATGCACATCTCTGCCACACTCATCTTTTGAATGTGACATTGTTTCACCGCCCAACACAGACGCCATACAGTAATGCAGGCCTAATTGTTGTCCTATCAAATTTACCCTTCAGTCTAGTCGGCATACCTCGATCGCATAGAAATCCTGACGCACTCTTCCACTTCATCCACCCTGTTCTTATTCTATGAGATACATCTCCATCTAACTCACCGTCCTTCTGAATTATGGAGCCCAAGTAACGGAACATATCGCTGATTGGTATCTCCTTACCATCCAGAGTAATTCCGCTATTACCACTGCTTCTACCTCCACTAAACTTGCATTCCATGTACTCTGTCTTGCTCCGACTTAGTTTGAAACCCTTATTCTCCAATGTTTGTCGCCATACTTCCAACTTTGCTTTAAGACCTGATTGCGTCTCATCAATCAATACAATATCGTCGGCAAACATCATGCACCACAGTATATCGTCTTGAATTGACTTTGTAAGTTCATCCATGACTATGTCAAATAAGAAAGGGCTCAGAGCTGATCCTTGATGCACTCCGATAACAATAGGGAACTCTTCAGTCCTCCCTACACTAGTACGGACACTTGTAGTACAATCCTCATACATATCCATGATGATGCTGATATACTTGAGTGATATGCCTTTTCTAGTTAAGGCCCACCAAAGAACTTCTCGAGGTACCCTATCATATGCCATTTCTAAGTCAATGAACATCAAATGCAGATCCTTATGAGCGTCTCTATACTTCTCCATAAGTTGCCGAAGAAGGTGAATTGCCTCAGTTGTTGAGCGACCAGGCATAAAACCGAATTGATTCTCTGAAATCTTCACAGTTCTTCGAAGTCTTTGCTCAATCACTTGCTCCCAAAGTTTCATGGTGTGACTCATAAGCTTAATCCCTCGATAGTTGACACATTCTTGTACATCACCTTTATTCTTAAATAAGGGGATAAGAGTACTCTTCCTCCAACTCGTTGGCATCTTGTTGTTTCTCCAAATCATGTTGAAGAATCTTGTTAACCACTCGATGCCTCTCTCTCCCAAACTTCTTCAAGCCTCGATCGGTATGCCATCCGGACCCACTGCTTTCTTCCATCCCATCTTCATCAGAGCAGAACTTTTTTGTTATAATAGAAGCAGTTTTTTTTGTTATAACAGAAGCAGAATTTGATCATCTTAATTTTTTCACCGAAAGGGAAAAAGTAAAAACGATAGCTAAAACAAATAAATACTCAATAACATGTCTGTCAGTCTGTGTGACCAGATGCTTTTTCGTTATTCAGTTCGTGTTAACTGTGAACTCTGGTAACTGAGCACAACCCAGAATAATGAATGGCAACTAGATGCAATGGAACAAGCTCCCCAGTTTCCTTTTTGGGGACATTTTTATGTTCAAAGATATCTATATCCAAAATGTTGACATTTATTTGGAATTCAAAGTGTATGTGTGCATTTTGTTGATACTGTGCTACTTTATTGGGCAGAAGGGGTCATGTGCGTACAATATCTTAAAAGCTGATCTGTAAATTTCTTCTTTCAGTTTATACTTTGAAGAATTTGATGTCACAAGATGAAACCTCAGCAGTTGACAATGCTGTTCAAAAGTGTGAGTGCAAATGCTACACCTGCATATCATGTATATTCTTTAAACATAACTGAAAGTAAACTGATACTTAGACCTTTGGATTACAGCTCGTCATTTTTCTTTGTTGACTTACTTCTGGAGTAGGACAAGTGAAAAGAAGTTGAGGTCATAAAACCAAGGTTTACTCAGGTAAGGTATTTTGTAATTGAATGTTCTTCAACTTAATCAACTCCACAACTTCATGAAAACTGAAACTTTTTTTGGGTTGACATGCAGCAATGTATTCAGGGGTGGGGGGCAAGAGGCCTGACCGCCCTAGGCCCGAAAAAATAGAAGAAAAAATAGGCCCAAAATTTTTTCTTTATATATAGTGTGAGTAAGCTTCTTTTTTATTCTTAAGTTCAATTAATTAGGCCTAATGATTAATTTTGTTGACACTTTGAAAACTTAAAATATAAATAAAGAGTCTTAAACATAGACAAGTTTAAAACAGAATATATACATTAATTTTTAGCAGGATCAATTGTAGTTTTTAAAAGCAATATAATTGTTACTGCATAAATAAAAGACACGTATCTCTAGTCCTCACATCTTTTTAGCTTTTAAGATTTTTTATTCAATTTTATTATGACCGGAAATAAATTTTATGTATTTCCAGTTTATACATGTAAATGGAATGCAACCTTTAATATATTATGTGCAGGGTGAAACATTATTCTTTTGAGACAGTGGGATGAGTTGTGTGGAGGCATTTGAGTCTTGACAGATAGTGTAGATTATTACAGATTGTTCTAATCACTCACCCGATTGTGCATTTATGAGGAGATATCTTAGAGATCTCAGAATCTCTAAATATCCCCAATTATCTTTTCTTTATTAGGGAACCTTAATTAGGAGGATTCCTTCCTTATTTCATTGTTTCTCTAGCTATATATATCCTGTATTCTTCTCCTTGTAACATACAGAACATAATAAACAGAATACAGTTTACTTTCTTGATTTATTTCTACATGGTATCAGAGCGTGGTTATTCTCTAAAATGATCAAGTTCTGATCCTATGGGATGACCACCGAGAGAGATGGATCTATCTCAGTCACCTCTGAACATTCAGAGGGTGTCCCAACTGGAGATGGCAGCAACAGAGTATCAATGGAAGCACAATCATCACTCCTAATCAATCAGATTCGATTATTACTTGCCATAAACTCAATGGTAGTAATTATCTACAATGGTCTCAGTCAGTTTTTATGTATGTGTGTGGAAAAGACAAGGAGGACTATTTGACAGGTGATGCACCTGCTCCGGATCAAGGAGATCCAGGCTACAAGAAGTGGAAAAAGGAGAACTATACTGTGATGTCATGGCTCATCAATTCCATGACAACCAGTATATGGGAAAACTTTCTAGTATACAAACAGCTCAAGAGATTTGGGAGGCTGTGAAAGAAACATATTCAACTTCAGATAACACTTCTGAATTATTTGAGGTTGAATCAATGTTACATAACCTTCAGCAGGGAGAATTGAATGTAACTCAATACTTCAACAACCTTGTGAGACTCTGGCAGCATCTTGATGTGTTTGAGACATACAGTTGGTCATGTTCTAAGGATAAGAAGCTATATCAGGCGATCTGTGAAAGGAAGAGAGTCTTCAAATTCCGGTCAGGTTTGGACAAGAGTCTAGATGAGGTTAGGGGCAGAATAATGGGAAAGAAACTCACCCTTAGAGAAGCCTTCTCAGAAGTCAGAAGAGAAGAAAGCAGAAGGAAGGTAATTGTGAAAGTATATTAGAATATACTTTAGAATATGCTATAGAATATATTAGGAATATATCATAGACATTATTATTGTATAGAATCTTATATAGGAATATTCTATTTGTAATGTATATTTATAGGGACTTCCACAACGAATGAAATACACAGAAAATCTTTCCTCCACTTTTCAATATTATTCTAGTTTATCTTTCAACATGGTATCAGAGTTTCATAGAACATTAGTCCAGAAATTATAGCTTCTCTGTGAGTTATTATTATAGCTTCATACAGGTTCTCCGAGAGTCCCAGAACCTCTCCCCAGAACACCCAAAACCTCCTATCGCAGAAACTTTATTCTATTCCAGTTTAATTTTCATTTTTTTTCTCTCTCATTTCGTTCGGAATCTCTCTGTTCAGAACCTTACGCTCGGAATCCCAGAACCTCCCATCTCTTTTCACAGAACATCAGCCTACACCAACTTCAGAACCTTAGTCCAGAGCCTATCTCACCTCCACCCTACGCTGGTGCGCCTTCCTCTGGCGACCAGAAAACCGAAAGCTGCAGGTCCAGCTACACGCGCCGCCGGAAGTTCTCGCATCTATTCACGCGCCGGCGCGTGAAGGTGTGTTACTGGTCGGAGCTTCGAGTGGAGACCATCGCTAGACTCGCCGGAGTTCCCTCTGGTGATATCCAGGTACACTTCGTTACAATATTGGAAGCCTTCTTTCTGCCGTACACAGGCCATACGATAAGTCTGGAACTGCTAAGCTACTTGTGCGTTTCTGGCGTTTCTGGTGCTAAGAAGAAAGGACCGTAAGTTCACTTAATATTTTGTTTTGTTAACAAAAAAAAAACAAAATTCAAAAAAAAAAAACAAAAACACAAAAAAAAGCAAAAAAAAAAAGAAGGGGGAATTATGTTTTGCATAGGTAAATTTGATAGAGGAGTAATATGCAATTACTGCAAGAAGCCCGGACACTTGATCAAAGAATGTAGAAAATTGCTATTCAAAAATCAAGGAGATCAGCTTGCTCATGTTGCTTTCGCTACCAATTCCTCCGATGGAACTATTGTTATTTCTTCAGACGAGTATGCCAAATTTATTTGCTACAAAGAATCACTAAAGCATTCATCTGTCCCTACTTCGGTAGCTGCTAATTCAGGTATTTCAAACACATGTCTTGTTTCCTCATCCTCGAAATGGGTCATTGACTCAGGTGCCACAGATCATATGACTGGTAATCCTAGTCTATTCTCATCATTTCATTCATATTTACCTACTTCTAGTGTCACTTTAGCTGATGGATCTACCTCACCTGTTCTTGGATCCGGTACTGTTGTCCCAACTTCTACATTACCATTATCACCTGTTTTGAGTCTTCCTAATTTTGCATTTAATATGCTTTCCATCAGTAAAATCACACGTACTCTTAATTGTTCTGTAACATTTTTTCCCGGATATTGTGTGTTTCAGGATCTGTTGACAAAGCAGACTATTGGTAAAGGACATGAGTCAGTTGGTCTTTATATTTTGGATACGTCAATCACAAAAGGTATCTCTTGTCTTGGGGTTGGAAATCTATTAGAAGCTCATTACCGTTTAGGACATCCATCTCTCCCACTAATGAAGCAAATATATCCTCAGTTTAATAAGGTGTCATCTATACAATGTGAGTCGTGTGAATTTGCAAAACATCATCGTACTAGTTTAAGTCCTCGACTTAATAAACGAGCAAACGCTCCGTTTGATCTTGTTCATACTGATGTTTGGGGGGCATGTCCTGTTGTGTCCAAATCTGGTTTCAAATATTTTGTTACATTTGTTGACGATTATTCTCGTATGACATGGTTATACTTTATGAAACATCGATCAGAGTTATTTACTCATTTTTCTGCATTTTGTGCTAAAATTAAAACTCAATTTAATGTTCCTGTTCGTGTGTTGAGGGGAGACAATGCCCAAGAATATCTCTCTGCTCCATTTAAATCTTTTATGCTTCAAAATGGCATTATTCATCAAACTTCATGCGTAGACACACCTCCTCAAAATGGAGTCGCTGAAAGAAAGAATCGACATCTGTTAGAAACTGCAAGGACTCTTCTATTCCAAATGAATGTGCCTAAACAGTTTTGGGCGGATGCCGTGTCTACCGCATGTTTTTTTGATAAACCGTATGCCGTCTTCTGTTTTAAATGGTAAAGCTCCTTATCACTGCTTATTTCCAAATAAGGAGCTTTTTCCTATCCCACCTAAAATATTTGGTTGCATTTGCTTTGTTAGAGACGTTAATCCTCATCTTACAAAGTTAGACCCCAAATCATTAAAATGTATTTTCTTGGGTTACTCTCGAGTTCAGAAGGGGTATAGATGTTTCTGTCCAAGTACAGGTCGATATCTTGTTTCCATTGATGCATCATTTCATGAAAATACACCTTTTTCATCATCCAAGACAAATATTCATGGGGACAATGATGAAATACTCATTTACTCTATCACTATATCTGAATCTACACCTTCTGTAGTTATTCCACATGTTCATGTTCCTGACCCCAGACCTCCAGTACATTTAGTTTACACCCGTCGAAACAAAGCACCATATCACCCTCCACCAGTGACACCTGTGATTACTTATCCTGATATTGGTCCGTCCTTGATCTCATGTCCTGAACCGGTACATGCATCTTCAGATCTTGTCTCTACATCAGATCTTGACCTTCCGATCGCATTACGTAAAGGTACACGGTCTTGTACTCATCCTATTTCTTCATTTGTGTCGTATAGTCAGTTATCCCCTGCCTCATTTTCTTTTATTGCTTCCATCGATTCTATTTCTGTTTCCAAATCTGTTAAAGAAGCTTTGTCTCATCTTGAATGGCGTCATGCCATGGTAGAGGAAATGAATGCTTTAGATCTTAATGGTACATGGGATTTGGTTGACTTGCCTACAGGGAAGAAATCTATAGGATGCAAGTGGGTCTTTGTTGTTAAGGTTAATCCAGACGGATCTGTTGCTCGGTTGAAAGCTCGATTAGTTGCAAAGGGTTATGCTCAAACCTATGGTGTTGATTATTCTGACACTTTTTCTCCTGTTGCTAAATTAACATTTGTCAGGTTACTTATTTCTCTCGCTGCAACTCATGATTGGCACTTACATCAATTGGACATTAAAATGCATTCTTGCATGGTGACCTTCAGGAAGAAGTTTATATTGAGCAACCTCCGGGATTTGTTGCTCAGGGGGAGTATGGGAAAGTTTGTCGACTTCGCAAATCTCTTTATTGTTTGAAACAAATTCCCCGTGCATGGTTTGGAAAATTCAGTCAATCAATTGAATGATTTGGCATGATAAAAGGTCAATCAGACCACTCTGTCTTTTATAGACGAACGAAAGCAGGTATCACATTGCTTGTGGTGTATGTTGATGATATTGTGATTACAGGGAGTGATATTGCAGGTATTTTGACTCTTAAGAATTTTCTTCATAGCCAATTCCAGACGAAAGATCTAGGCTCATTGAAATACTTCTTGGGTATTGAGGTAACACGAAGCAAGAAAGGCATATTTCTATCTCAACGCAAATATGTACTTGACTTGCTAGCTGAAACAGGGAAACTAGGGGCAAAGCCAAGCAATACTCCTATGATTCCTAATGTACAACTTACTCACGAAGGTGTGCCATTCGAAGATCCAGAGAGATATAGAAGATTGGTTGGGAAACTTAATTATCTCGCAGTTACCCGTCCAGATATTGCATACTCAGTGAGTGTAGTGAGTCAGTATATGGCATCTCCCACAGTTGATCACTGGAATGTTGTAGAACATATATTATGTTACTTGAAGGGGACACCAGGACGAGGTATTGTTTATCAAAATCATGATCACATGAGAATAGAATGCTTTGCAGATGCTGATTGGGCTGGATCTAAAGATGATAGAAGATCTACATCTGGCTATTGCGTCTTTGTTAGTGGTAATCTTGTCTCCTGGAAAAGTAAGAAGCAGAATGTGGTTTCTCGATCTAGTGTCGAATCAGAATATCGTGCTATGGCACAATCGGCATGTGAGATAATCTGGATAAACCATTTATTGAGTGAAATTGGATTGAAGACACCAATGCCTGCTAAACTGTGGTGTGACAACCAAGCTGCTATACACATTGCCAACAACCCAGTGTTTCATGAGAGAACGAAACATATTGAGGTCGATTGTCATTTTATTCGAGAGAAGATTCAAAAAGGATTGATCTCTACAGGATATGTGAAGACCGGGGAACAACTTGGAGATTTGTTCACTAAAGCACTAAATGGAATTCGAGTTGGTTATTTATGTAACAAGTTGGGCATGATAAATATCTATGCTCCAACTTGAGGGGGAGTGTGAAAGTATATTAGAATATACTTTAGAATATGCTATAGAATATATTAGGAATATACCATAGATATTATTATTGTATAGAATCTTATATAGGAATGTTCTATTTGTAATGTATATTTATAGGGACCTCCACTACTAATGAAATACACAGAAAATCTTTCCTCCACTTTTCAATATTATTCTAGTTTATATTTCAACAGTAATGATGGGTCTAAAATCTCAAGGTCAACAACAAAACATTGAAGGATCAGCCCTATATACCTCTTCCAGACAGAATGAAAACAAGAAAAAGAGGAGGCCATGGTGTGATCATCGTAAGAAACCAGGCCATACCAAAGAAACATGCTGGAATTTGCATGGTAAACCTAAAGATTTCAAACCCAGCAAAGGGAGAGGAGCCTATGTAGCTACTGGAGATAAAGAAGACATGGGCACTTTAAACTCTGCTGCATTTACCAATGAGCAGATTGAGGTTCTTCAACACCTAATAAGTCAGAGCAAAGGGCCTACACCATCAACTACCCTTACTGCTCAGACAGGTAATGCCTTAACAACCCTAGTTGCACACAGTCAGCCCTATTGGATTGTTGATTCAGGGGCATCAGATCATATGACTGGAGACAGTAAGTTTTTTGCTGAATTGATCTCTATGAAGAATAAGGTAACTGTGAAGATTGCTGATGGAACTACTTCAGCAATAAAAGCGACTGGAAGAGTCAAAATTTCTGACAAGATAGTGCTTAACAATGTGTTATATGTTCCAAATTTAAAGTTCAACCTCTTATCAGTCAGTAAACTGAACAATGATACACATTGCTTAACTAAATTCTCTTCTCAATTGTGTGAATTTCAGGATTTGGATTCGGGGAGGATGATTGGCAGTGCTAAGCAAAGTGGTGGACTCCATCTTCTGGAACATTCACCACATTCACCAAACTCCACCAACAAGACAACTTCCAGTGAGAGTCAATTCAACCATAAGTTCTTAGGGAGTCTTAGTAGGAGTCAGTTTGATACTCAAATTCAGTTATGGCATTATCGTCTTGGTCATCCTAATGTCTTGTAGTTAGAAAAGATATTTCCTTCATTATTCATAAATAAAAGTTCTACCTTTGATTGTGAATTTTGTCAACTTGCTAAACATACTAGAAGTCACTATCCCAGTCTACCTTACAAACCATCTAAACCTTTTTCTCTCATCCACAGTGATGTTTGGGGCCCATCCAAGGTCAAAAACCTCACTGGTTCAAGGTGGTTTGTTCTATTTATTGATGATCATACACGCCTAACCTGGGTTTTCCTCATGAAAGAGAAGTCAGAAGTCAATATTATCTTTCAAAGATTCTATTCTATGATCAAAACTCAGTTTCAAACCAAGATTCAAGTTTTTAAAACTGATAATGCCAAAGAATATTTCTCATCCAACTTAGGAGAGTTTCTGTCCAAAAAGGGGATTATACACATTAGCTCCTGTGTTGACACCCCACAATAGAATGGGGTGGCAGAAAGGAAGAATAGACACTTACTGGAAGTTGCTAGAGCCCTTATGTTCACCACTCACACTCCTAAACACTACTGAGGAGAGGCTGTCTTAACTGCAACTTACCTGATAAATAGGATGCCCTCCAAAATTCACCAATTTAAAAGCCCATACCAAATCCTATCTTATCTACATCCTCACATCCCTCTTACCAATCTTCCACCCAAAGTCTTTGGTTGCAAAGCATTTGTTCACAACCATTCCCCACTTAGGTCTAAACTGGATCCCAAATCCTTACCTTGTATATTCATAGGATATGCTGCCAATCAGAAAGGATATAAATGTTATTCTCCTACCACCAAAAAGGTCTACATCACAATGGATGTAACCTTCTTTGAAAATTAGCCTTTCTATTCCAAAACTGAATTTCAGGGGGAGAACCGCAATGAAATCCAGTCTTTGAACCCTAATTCACCTATTTCAGACACTATTCCAGACCTCCAAGAATCTGAATCTAACCACACTGAACCCATACTCCCAGACAGCTCTGAATCAAGCCCTCCAGACAATACAATCTTTCCATCAACCTCACCATTTCAGCCACCAACCTCATCACCCCAAAATCCTACACTAGATCAAAATTCCCCATTCTTCAAGAATACCTATAAGCGGAAACCTAGAACCAGAGTTCCAGAAGAAGAGCACATCACTCCAATTAACACCACCCAATCATCTGACTCAAATTTGAATCTTGATGACAAAGAGGTTGAGGCTATAGAAGGAGATGAGGAGGAACAAGACTTGCCTATTGCTATCAGAAAGGGAGTGAGGGAGTGTACCAAGCATCCTATCTATAATTTTGTTTGTTATAAGAAACTTTCAGCAAACTATCAAGCTTTTATTTCAAAGATTGATAGTATTCGGGTTCCTAACAACATCAAGGAAGCCCTTGAACATCCAGGGTGGAGGAAGGCTGTCCATGATGAATTAGCAGCATTGAAAAAGAATGGAACTTGGGTGCTTACAGATTTGCGAGCAGGGAAGAGAACTGTTGGCTGCAAGTGGGTATTTACAGTCAAATATCAGGCTGATGGACAGATTGAAAGGCTTAAGGCAAGGCTGGTTGCTAAGGGGTTCACCCAAGCTTATGGCATTGATTATTCAGAGACCTTTGCACCAGTGGCAAAGTTGAACACCATTAGAGTATTGTTATCACTCGCAGTGAACCTAGACTGGCCATTACATCAACTAGATGTTAAGAATGCTTTTCTTAATGGAAACCTGGAAGAGGAAGTATTCATGGATGTACCACCAGGGTTGGAAGACTTGGTGCAATCTGGCCAGGTTTGTAGACTGAAAAAGTCCTTGTATGGACTAAAGCAGTCTCCTAGAGCATGGTTTGATAGGTTCACAAGATCAGTTATTAAACAAGGGTTCATGCAATGTCAGGCAGACCATACACTATTTGTAAAGAGAGCAAACTCCGGTAAAATGGCTATTCTTATAGTATATGTTGATGATATTATTATGATTAGGGATTATAAGGCTGAATTGGACAGATTGAAGGCTCATCTAGCAAGAGAGTTTGAGATCAAGGAGCTTGGTGAGTTAAAGTACTTCCTGGGAATGGAAGTGGCAAGATCTAAGAAAGGCATTTTCATTTCACAAAGGAAATATGTCCTAGACTTGCTGAGTGAAACTGGAATGCTTGGGTGCAAGCCTATGGACACTCCCATGGGTATATCAAAGAAGTTAGGCAGTGAGACTGAAAGTCCACCCGTTGATAAGGGTAGATACCAAAGGCTGGTAGGGAAGCTAATCTACCTATCTCACACACGGCCAAACATTGCTTTCTCAGTAACTGTGGTAAGTCAATTCATGAATGACCCAACTGAGGAACACCTAACTGCAGTCTACAGAATTCTAAGGTACCTGAAAATGACTCCTGGAAAAGGATTCTTGTTTCAGAAACAAGGGACAAGGAAGATTGAAGTGTTTACTGATGCTGACTGGGCCAGAAGCCTCTTAGACAGAAGGTCAACTACTGGTTACTGTACTTATGTATGGGGTAACTTAGTCACCTGGAGGAGCAAGAAACAATCGGTGGTTTCGAGAAGTCGTGCAGAGTCTGAGCTCAGGGCTTTAGCACAAGGAATCTGTGAAGGATTATGGTTAAGAAGATTGATGAATGAGCTTAAACTTCCATTTGAAAGCTCCATCCATATCTCATGTGACAACCAGTCTACTATCAGTATTGCTAAGAATCTTGTCCGTCATGATAGGACCAAACACATTGAGATAGATAGAAGATTCTTATCAGAGAAGATTGCAGCAAAGGATATCCAGCTTAGTTATGTTCCAACCAGGCAGCAAATAGCTGATATACTCACCAAGGCACTTCCCAGAATTCAGTTTGAAGACTTATCTAGCAAGTTGTGCATGGATGATATCCATCACCCAGCTTGAGGGGGAGTGTAGATTATTACATATTGCAATAATCACTCACTCGATTGTGCATTTATGAGGAGATATCTTAGAGATCTCAGAATCTCTAAATATCCCCAATTATCTTTTCTTTATTAGGGAACCTAATTAGGAGGATTCCTTCCTTATTTCATTGTTTCTCTAGCTATATATATCATGTATTCTTCTCCTTGTAACATACAGAACATAATAAACAGAATACAATTTACTTTCTTGAGTTATTTCTACAGATAGCCTGGGCGTTCCATTGCAGCCATTGCTGTAAAAATCCTGTCAAACCATGACTAATCTCCGCTTAGACCATCTCCAACCCACGGGGTGAATAAATGAAAATTTCACCATGTCCTACTTTTCTCAGACATCCCTTGTATTTTGAGGATGAAAGGTGGAAATAGCCATTCATGGGATGAAAAATCCAACCCTCTTTCATTCAACTTTGGGGACAAGGAGGCTGATGAGCTTAATAGAGTCGGTCGTTGAATGCCACTAAAGACCACTTGCTTCCCCAGTTCCCTCCATATGGCACAACATGTTGAGCCTCATGCAGCGGTCTTTTAGAGGTTTAGATTCCTTTTCAATAAAAAATATAATCTCCACCAAAGATTTCTCATTTGTTTGGCATTGCTTTAATGAGGGGAATTGACCTGACAACCCTAATTTAAATCTAACATTCAAATTTATTATTACTATTAATATTATTTGATGCACTTTAATGCAACTACGAGAGTTATATCTACGTGATGGTAACATGGATTCTGACCATGGCCCAATTACGTAATCCAGCCCACAACGGGATCAGCTCTTAGCGGGATTAGCCTATAAATGGGATTAGGTCCTGAATGGGGTTCACATTAAATAAGTCGCTAGGCCCGATTAGGGATCAAACCCATGATGGGAATCCACAACCAGGCCGGGCTGGACAGCAGACCTCGAGCCTGGGCAGGGTTCTAATGAGGCCAGGATATTCCTAGGGTTTACGTGGCAGACTATTATTGGAACCTAGCCATTTGGGGGCAGGCGGGACTCAAAGGGAGACGTAGGCTTGAAGAAGGTAATCATTGCATGATGATCGAGACGCTACAGGAGTTCTATTCGAACTAATATATGCGCCGTAATTAATGGCATTTAATGTAGTAGTTTCCTCCTAGAATACTGACTCCTAAAGTTTATAAATACTTCCTGCAAATACCCTGAGAGGGGATCGAAAACCTATTGTTCCAAATAATAATAATACTGCCTTACGCTGCTATATTTCGATATTTCAGTAGATTTAGCTCTCGTAGTTGGATTAAACTCCATCATTTGGTACTCTCGTTGAGAGCCGAGTCTATGAAGATGGGGATTGAATCCAGTAGTCACGACCGTATGGGTAGCAGTCAAGGCGACAGTCGTCCCCACCGGGTCGTGGGCGAGAACGGAGATTCGAGGTTTCGACAAAGTGATTTCCAAAGACACGATGATAACGCGACAACCCAATGCAACTTGGGGGATCATCCTCTCAGCGTTTGGGACTCCGGGCACATGGCGGTGCGACCATCACAATTCTAGACGCCGGGTACCGGACGGCGAAACCCCCAACGTGGATCCGGAACGAGCCCTAGTAAGATCGGACGGACTGGCCTCAATCTCTTAGGAGAGGGAGGTAGGAGCCCAACTCGAGGACAATGGCCAAGAAGGAGATCTAGGCCAACAAGAACACCCGCACGTCCACCAAATTTATGGTGGACCTGTCGGAGGGGACGACGTGGGGGAAAGAAGGGAGTGGGATCGCTGATTATTCATCGGGAAAATCGACCATCTTCCTGCTGGCGAAAAGCTGAAGTGGGAATCCATCACCTTCACGGACGACGATCTTCCTCCGTGTCCCCCGCCACACAGAGATGCTCTGGTAATAAATATGGGAGTTATGGATGCAATCGTCCATAGGGTTCTCGTGGACAACAGAAGCTTGGTCAACATTCTATACATGGATACTTTCGTGGAGATCGGGCTCCATAAAGGAGCACTCAAACCGGTAAGAACCCCTCTTTCAGGTTTCACTGGAGACACGGTTGAACCAGAAGGAGCAATCACCCTCAAGATCCAGCTTGGATCAGACCCGTGTGTCTGGGAGATCGCG